CTCTCTCTCTCTCTCTCTCTCTCTCTCTCTCTCTCTCTCTCTCTCTCAAACGCGGATGAATCTTCCGCGTTATCGCGGAAGATTCATCTGCGTTTGAGAGAAATATAGGATTCGTAAAAACCTAACAAAACAAATTGTAAGGTTTGCACGAAATCTATTCAAGATTATGATAGTACGTTTTTTAGGTCTCCTCCATGAACAAAATTCTACGTGAAGTGAAACATCCGCAAAAAAAAAAACAGAAAATTAAATTTTCAAAACTACTGGAGGGGGCGAGGAAAAAGCGGGTTTTTTCATAGAAAATCACGACCTGGTGAAGCACTGTAGGTTCAAGAACTTAAATATCCTGATTTTTTGTTATCCAAAAAAAAAGTGTTTATAGTCCTATAAGATGTGTAGCACGATGAATTTATTCGGGGGTTTTCCGAACGCGCAAACATATTCTCTTGTTCGTGAATACGTTCGCTTAAACATGGTTTCCCATACATGGGCGAATATATTATTTTTTATTGTTTGTTTTAATTTTTTTCCTATATTTTTATTTTAAACTTGTGTTTGGCTAAGAATTTCAAGGTGTCTCCGAGGCAAAAGTTGCTTGTATTCTTATTTTAAATGACATATATTTTTTGATAAGGGTTTTATTGTTAAGTTCAAAAGTGATTTATAGTCCTATAAATTATTTTGTGCAGAGCTTGGCTTTTACCTAACTGCGGAAACTGACTTGTAGTCCTATAAATGAGTATTCACAAAAAAAGGTTTTTTCTACATCTCTCAAGTTTGCCTTGTCATCCTTAAAAATTACCCTGTTCGAACTCTGTTTTGCCAATCTACTGAGAATGACTTATAGACTTTATAGTCATATAAAAGCATTTTGCAAGGAAGAGTTTTCTTGCACATTTTGAGGAACGCTAGACTTTTCACCTGATTTTTTGCCTCCTTTATCGCAAAACGATTAAAAACGCGCTCTTTTTGTGTAAAAAATAACAGTTTGACTTTTACTTTTTCATTCTATAAGAAATGTTAGGTTTTCTCCGATTGTGAGGTTTTCACGAATCCCCTGTTGAGAGAGAGAGAGAGAGAGAGAGAGAGAGAGAGAAACGTCTCTCTCTCTCTCTCTCTCTCTCTCTCTCTCTCTC